ATGTAGGGATCCACTTGTTTGTTTGTCAATGAGGGTATTTTAAACACTGGCTACTAACACAATTTCTCAAGACAGACTTATAATAGTTATATAATATAATAAAACAGACGAGAGTTACTTGGGAAGAGGAAAAATGTATACCGGTTTCCGCTGTTTTCAGTTGTTTGAACTGCTGGATCACTGGACCATGGTGGATCCCAAAGGAAATAAATCCCAGACTGGAAATGGCTGTAGCAGCACACAGACATATGTCCCTCATAAACTAGGAGCTCCTTACTAGGCTGTAGCTAATCATCTTTCTCAACCTCTGGTGGCAGAAACAAGAGGCACCAGTGAGCAAGAGTGTTCATTTGCCCTACCCCAACAAGTCTTCATTCAGATGTTTCAACTGCCACGTTCTAAGTGCTATCTTAGCCGTCCCTTGATTTGTTGCTGCCTGCCACCAACCTACTGCAGTTCCCCAAGTCATCTGGCATGTGAAAAATGCTTTTGGAGAGATGTGGTATCCCAGGGAACATTAGATAAGATGCTGCTCACTCCAAGTTCTTTGACAGACATGTATTTCAATATAAAAGAGAACTTAAGCAAAGGGGCCTGCATATGATGAAGCACCCTGCTGCCTAGAGGTCCAGGTGCCCTTAACACCTGGCAAGCACATTTATCTGCATGAAAAAAGTGTGGAATAAGCACATACATGCCATTATCAAAAAATTCAGACTAGGTCTCTCAGCCTTAATAGACTATGATCCTGCATAGACCCATAGAATTTCAGGGTTGGAAGGGACCCTGAGGATCATCAAGCTCAAACCCATGCAAAGCAGGAATATGCACCTGTCGCATATGGGGATCGAACCTGCAACCTTGGCATTATCTTTCATAACCTTGTTATATTGTGCTCACTGCTCTGGCACAATGGACTAAGGGGCCATCAATGAAAGTCTAGAGAAGGAGAAGCTCACACCCCGGAGTTACCACTAGCCATTTCTTCATCCAATAAATGCTTCTAACCTGGCAGCCCACAAGCTTACTGCCATTTCAGTAGAGTGACAAAGGCTTCAACAAGGAGCTAACTCAGTGCAGTCAAGCATTGGGGTAAAGAATGAGAAGCACAGGTACAAGTACCTTTGGTCAGTCATTAGCATTGTTGGTTCAGTTCTCATTTCTATGCAGGGACACAGCTAGAGAGCAAGATCAAACATGGAATGAAGACAGATTCAAAAACAACCATCTCCCTTGGAAGTGTATAGCATTTCTGCAACCATCAAGACAGTCCTGAAAATAAACAACTTAAGGAGAATAATATGGCAAGCAAACACCCAGTGGAAGCACAGGCAGGGAAGAAACAAGGCCATCTACTGCTGCTGAAAACCAATAGGAACCAATGTTAGCACACATCCCTTCTCTCTCCACAGACAGGCATCCTTCCTACTACACTCAGAGAAACTAGCAAGATGCTTTCCCTTGATCTACACAGGAAGCAAAACAGAACTAAAGCAGCGCTATCAGCAAAAAAGACAAGTGGAACACTAGATTGTGTTGTACTGCCATGATGTACCTGTTAACTTTCCATATCAATAATGCTTTAAGTGACACAACTCCATTTCTTTTTATAGCAGTTAACAATGTTGGGAAAGGGAAAGTAAGAGCATGAGAAGATAAATAGCTCCGAGGATCTATTTCTATTAAAGAAAGCAAATGCATTACTTGTAAGTACTCATATACTACAAACAGCTGCAAACATGCTCTTGAATCTCATTGCACATATAATTATTTGCACTGTCAAGAGACTCCCCACCCTCCTTGAATACTGTTGCTACTAGGAAAGATGTGCCACTTGAAAGTACATTAAAGTAGAACGGAAAACCTTACTGACAATGGCATAACCCTAAGCAAAAAGAGAGGGAGAAGTAATTTGTGCTATGCAAAAAAAAATCACATTTGCAGGAACCACTTCAGATATCATGCCATTTCAATATTTTAAGTACTTGCAAGGTTAGGTACTTTATTCAAATAAATTGGGAGTTAGTCACCATGTCTTCCAGAGGGTGGCATAAGTGGGGCTTCCAACACAAACACAAGATACAAGCGATAATATCTGCTAACTAAAGTCCAGTTTCCGTATTTATATAATACACCATGCAATCTTTTAAACCACATTCTCCCCCATTCATTTTTTTGTTTGTTTCTATTCTGGAATCTCACATTGTGGAGAATTTTATCTATAAGTTCAAAATATAAAGAAAGTTTAAAAACTGCATTCAACATGTGGAATTACATGCACAAATCACAGACCCTGACAGTGTGAACACCAACCAAGCATTGTTGGGAGACTTGCCATTCCATCATATTTTACTCTGTTGTTGCCAGTGATTCTTCTTTCCAATATACTGCAAGCTATTGCTGCAGCTAGGAGAGCTACACAGTATGCAAATTGAAGAGAACCATTCTCACAGCATTTTCCTCTTTGAGTACAGTTGTTGGCAGAAGAGGCTTAACTAAATATCTAGTCAAGTTGCTTGATTAACCAATATAAAATTTGATACTAGATTTTTATAACATGATAATTTTGCTACAAGCTTCTTGTCTGAGTTAAAAGAAACATTAATCATCTGTCCCATCAGACTGGCCATGTTTTTGTCAAAGTTGTTATTCAACATGGCATGTCCTCCATGGAAATATCAAAATGCAGAATAAAAAGTGTCAGATTATGTTTTTATTCCAAGTGGAAATGAGCACCTCAGCAGAATAATAAGGAATGGATTTCTTCATATACCTCCAATTATTAAATGACATTTTTAATAAATCAACATCTATTTGAGTTCCTGGCCTGAGTTTTGCACTTTAAAAATCAATAAACTTTGTTCATTAGCAACATCGCACTGAGCTTCCTAGTAGAAGATTGGAGTGGAAATGTTACAAAATAAAACAAATAATGAATCTCCAGCATTCAAACACTAGCAGCAGTAACCTTATACACACTTATTTGGGTACTAGTCCCATAGATTTCACTGGGACTTACTTCTGAGTAAACATGCACATGGTTGAGCTGCATAAATATGAAACCCTTTGCTACAGTTAACACAACAGATCTCATTAAACCTCTGACCCAGTTGAGGAGCCGTCTCCCATTTCAGAGCAAAATTGCCTTACTGATATATTACCGGTATGTGCTGATCCACCCCATCTTTAAAGTGCTGTGCTCTCTCCCTCCGCTTTGCTATTAAACATCCACCAAGACAAAAAAGCTCTGCTGCTCTGGGAAAATCTAAATGATGGATCTCGCCAGCTAGAAACATCACCTGTAGTGCCAAAACCACACAATTCTAACAGGGGAGGGGGTTGGGAAGTAAACAGTGTGCTTTCTGCAAATATCCTGGAGAGTGTGGGGTCATCTGCCGGGACTTCCAGCTACAGAACAAGCGGGCTGCTGGTGCTTCTGTAGTTCTGGCGGAATACATGCTGCCTCCCAGCCCCGAGAAAGGCTTGCTTCCACTCACTGCTTACTGGTCCATAGGCAAACAGGAGCGGAGCCAAAACGGGGTGGGGTGCGAACTCCCTCTCTCCCTCTCTCTGCCTTTACACCGAATCCGAGGGGGAAGAAGGCACGTGCGAGACAGCAGAGAAGGCAGCCAGCATTATTCCACTCCCACCAACGAGATCGGAAATGAAACGTAACAGCAGCCTATGTCTCCCGCGCCAAGTCTTACAAGAACAGAATACTAACGGGTTCATTTCTCTCTCTCTCTCTCTCTGACCGATTATTACCATATGCAGATAAGCAAAGCACACAGGCGCAGCAGAAGCAGCTCCCTTCGCCTTCACATCCTACCCGGCGCAACTTTTTGCTTGGGAAACAGGCGACGATCACCACACCAAGGGCAATGCTTCTCTCTCCCCTAGTATTTGCTTTAGCAGAAATGGTGTTTCGTCACAGATTCAGGAAGAACAGCGCGAGAACGGTGCTGGCTCTCCCTCAACTCTCAGTGCCCATCAACCCCAGAAATAGGGAAAGTCACGCCTCTCTCTAATTTCATCATGGCTCTTTGCTTCTTTACCTACTCAGAACTTACTCCACTCCACTGAAGATGCCTAGTAAGCATCTTGAGTAACTTTAAGGGTTTTTATTTGAGGACGATCGCCTCAGAATAAACTGGGGGCGGGGGGGGGAGTGAGATTTGCCTTTCATTACATTCCAGAGCCTTTTGCTCCCTCCTCCACTAAGGAAGCATGGAATCATGAGCTGGAAGGGGACCACCAGGGTCATCTAGCCCAACCCCCTGCAATGCAGGAATCTCTCGAGCCCACCACCCTCAGATGAAGAGTCTCACGCCCTACCGACTGAGCTATCTCACATCTTACACGTTAAAAGGTTAAATGCTGGCGTGAGGAATGGAAGGCATGGTGGGCAAAAAGCTCTCGCCACGGGCGAAGCTCCCATCTTCTCGCCGAACGAGACACGCCGCCGTGCTACATGCAGAAAGGAGGGGAAAACTTTTACGAGCAGAAGGTGCTGTTGCAACAGCTTGAAATGGGGGGGGGGGGAGAGAGAGAGCATTTCAGCTACCAACCCTTTGGCACCCATTTCTGGCACCCTGCGCCTCACGTCACACGCTACCCATCCTGAAAAATGCTGTCCTCATTTTATTGCAGGACACGGGGCGATTTCTGCCTGCGTGGCTTCGTCGAGGGGTTGGGCTGGATGACCTTCAGGCACCCCCCTTTCCTCGGCTCAGTGACAACAGTTGCCTTGGCAGCGCAGGGCCTGGCTCGGCTTCTTCGGCACGCGAGGGAAGCGAGAGGGAAACGCAACTTGGATACTACCCCCCCTCCACCCTCCCATCCCATCCTCACCGAAGCCCACCGACGGCAACTTTCCGGCATTGCCAACGGACACTGCAGCAACGCGAGAGAAAGAGGACGAGCAGCCCAAAAGGAGCGCTTGAAGGAGACGCGGCCGTCTTCTGCCTCCACCTGGGCGCGCGGAGCGGGGTGGTTCTTACCTCAGCAGAAGCCACCTCAGCACAGCCGGCGGATAATCCCCTGCCCGCGCGTGCGGCCGGCGGCGCTTCCCCTCAGAAGCTGCTCCTCTGGCTGCCAAGGCGAGGCGAAGCGACGTCTTCTTCCGCGACGCCCTCCGTCCTCGCGCTTCTCCCTCCGCCCGCCCGCCCGCCTCGCTTGGGCGCCACCTGGGCTGAGGGAAGCCGCTTTGCCCGCCGCGCTCCTTCCCTCAGTCAGTCCCCGGGCATCTCTCCACAGGAAGAGGGCGACGACGACGCTGCTTCGCCCGGGCTGCAGGCTCGCTCTTCTTCTGCCCGGAAACAGGAATCTTTGAGAAGGGAGAGCGAGGTGGGGGAAGAAGAGTAGCGGGAGATAATAATAATAAAAAACTTTGAGGTGAAAAAAAGGGGGGGAGGACGTAACGTTTAAGGCAGAGAGGGCGGGATGTCGGGGGAGAGACTGAGCACGCGCCCCGCGCGCTCGAGGAAGCGCCGCGAGTGCTCCGCGCGAAGAGGCGCTTCTTGGCCGAGCCTCCCGGCAAGGGGAAAGGTGCCCCTCCTACCATCCAGGGCAAAGGGAGCTTCGCTGAGCGAGGAGCGAGGACGAGCGACGAAGGAGGCGCCTGCCAAATCCTGAGGGAAGCGTGGGGTCGCCTCGACACGGTAAAACGCGGGGGTGGCTGGGGGTCAGGGGAGACCGGCCAGTTTTCGCTCTCCTCCTTGCAGCAGCAGTGGAGGAAAGAGAAGAGCGCGGAGGGAGGGAGAACGGGAGGAAGCCGCGAGGAGGCAGCAGGTTGCAGCAGCCCTTCTTCAGCCGAGCGGGCGGCGGCGGGGCTCTGGGCTCGCTCCCTCTCGCTGGCGCAGGCGGAGGAGGAGGAAGGCGGCAAGACGACGGCCGCGTCGTTCCTGAGGAGTGAGGGATGGCCGGTCGGCTTCAGATCAGGTGGGCAGGGAAGCTCGGAGAAGATTCATGGCGCGCTGTCAAGAGGGGTTTGGACACGCCGTCCTCCTCCTCCTCCTCGGCTGTTTCACGCTCCCCGGAGTGAGACGGACGTCGCCGGCGCTGCCTCGGAAGGAGAGGCGAAGCCTTGGCAAAGCGGCAGTGTGGCCACGAGCGGCAAGGCGGGCTCTTTTTCAGATTCTCTCGCACGCGTACGCCTCGCACACGTGCTCTGATGCAAGGGCGCAGGGGCGCCTCGAAGGGATCGCTTGGTATGGGGCTCTTGCTTTGGGGTGGGCTGCTGATGGCACTTCCCCCCAAAAAAAAACAAAAAAAAAACTGGCTCGCGAGCACGCCAACCTCATGCCAAGAACAGCAAAGCGAGAGAGCTGTCATCAGCTCATATGATATCCTCTTCGGAGATTCTTGTCCCAGGCGATGGCTCCATGCAATGGACCCCAGAAACCAGGAAGTTTCCAAAGAATGGCTGCTCAGGGAAGTGAACCTACTGGCAGGTGCTATAGGAAGGGTGCTGCTCCTGGGTATTCCAAGAGTTTTTCAGTTTGCAGCATCACCAGCAGTTTCTAAAGGAAGATGAGTAGTCAAGAGAAGAGTGCTCTGGAGTGAAATGGTTGGCCCAGGTTTAGCCTTTCCCCCATCTTGGAAACTCTGGCTTCACATGGAGTGGACAACTGATACTTCTTCCCAGTGTTCCCCACTTTTTCATCCTTCCAAATGGAAAGCCCAAAGGGCAGGAGACTGAAAAGCTGAAATACCAAAGATATTTCACAGCCAAACTGTCAGAAGGGTCATAGCACCTTTCAGGTCCTTGCTTGTGAAAGTAATTGTCCCAGCTAGGCAGAATAGAAACTACATATAGTTTAAGATCTGGAGGTAGCATGATAGACCCATCGTTTTCCATGGTATGCATCTGTCTTCCCCAACCTGGCGCCTTCCAGATGTTTTGGGCTGCAACACCCATCATCCCTGACCTTTAGCCATACTGGTTGGGACTGATGGGAGTTATAATCCAAAATAGCACTAGGTTGTGAAGGATGATGTTCATTTATTTTTGTCCACAGTTGTCTCTTGTTTTGTTTTGTTTTGTTTTGCTTTAAGCACTTTCAATTTGTACAAAGCCTGCTCGTCCAGATATGACAGTGGGATGAATGTCCTTGCTAAAGAACACTATCACACCACTTTCAATTTAGTCTCCATCCTATTAGTGGATGCTTGCCCAGAACTGAGAAAGGATTACATCTCTAGATTCCCTTTTGGCATTTTGAACATCTCCTTCTGCTACCCTTTCCTTTAGTCTGACCGTTGCCTTTCTACTTCACTTCAAATTGAGATTATTTGGAACATAGTGACATAAGAAGAGCCTACTGGATCAGGCCAATAGCCAATCTGGTCTGGCATTCTGCTACCACAATGGTCAACCAAAGGCCTGTGGGAAACCCACAAGCAGCACAAGAGCACTTTTCCCTCCTGTGGTTTTTGGCAACTGGTACTAAGAAGTTTTATAGATAGATAGATAGATAGATAGATAGATAGATAGATATAGATAGATAGAGTCAGGTGTGGTGTGGTTGCTCGAGAGCAAACAGGCAAGACTCCGACCTGTCTTTTCCAGGCTTTATTATTAGTGCAAACTATTTACGGTGAAGAGCGTCACAAGTTCATGTCAGGCTCACTCGCTCGCAGAATCTGAGAGTGGGCGGCCCTTGTACCTCCCCCAGCATAACAGTCGCGTGACCCCCAGCCTTCTCCTCCCTTCCTTGTGCTGAAACCTACTGCGCAGACTGGGTGCTGGCAAAGGGGTCCTTCCCTCCTCTCCAGCATGCTCCACCTCGGTGTTGAGGCTCTCCCTTGCATCCCCTGTTTCCACCACCTCCTCTCCACTGAAGGCGGGGCTTTCTTCCTCTCCAGAGGAGGAGCAAGGTTCCCTATAACACAACTGCCCTTCCCCCTCTCGCCTCTGACCTGATGGCAGTTCCCTGACAGACAGACAGATAGATAGATAGATAGATAGAAATTTGCTATATAGGTTAAGCAGCCAGTAGGATTAAACCTAAGTTTGTCACATTGCAAGTTGTCCCACACATTTTAGTTTTAGATGCACTATATAATACACATAGTGTATTGGCTAGCAGTACCTTTCAAGCACCCTGGACTTATATTGAAATTTTTGGAGAACCTCATCTCATACTATGTTTGCCATTATGGCACCAGCTTGTGTCTTCAACAGTGTCTATGAAAAAAAGTTTGCAATGCATGTACCTGGAGCACAGAATTAACCTGCTGGAATCATATCTCTATGCCAGGTTCTGGGGAAAAGTTCACCTGCTAAACTGAGAAACTGAAGATACTGGAGAAGTACAGTAAACATTTTACACAAAAAGGTAGAGTTCTTAACCTGCTAACCTATCTGCTTACCAAGAAAATGTCTGTTAGAGAGTGCCCAGAAATAGCATGAATGAATAAACATGGAATTGCACTAAACCCATGCCCGTTTGCTCCATAACTGCTTTGAGGCTTTTAAGCCACCCTGAGTTTGTTTGTTTTTTGACAGTCAAGTGGTGTATAAATTTTTATGAAATAAAACTAATATCAGGTCTAGCCCTTTCATCCCACCTCTTCTTCATCTGTTTTATACAGCTGTATTTAGACTAACCACATGCAAAGGAGGATAGGGAAACATTTTTATAGATTTTTTTTAAATTTCCCCTTGACACAACATATACAGGAACTCTGTTCTTCTTTGCACCTGGTCACATTTGTCCAGGGGTGGGCAACCTGTGATTCTTCCAATTCCAGTCAGCCCCAGCCTGCCTAGCCTATTGTCAGAGATGATGGGAGTTGTAGCCACAACATCTGGAGGGTGGCAGGTCCCCTACCCCTGCCCTTGTTTGATTGTAAAATACAAGGTGGAGTGTCTGAAGGGAAAGCACCTAGCAAAAAACCCACCATCTATCATAGCCAATGGCCAGGCATTAGAAATAGATTTACTGTGAAAAGTTTGCATGACTTACTACCATCTGGGTTGCTGTCACTTACCACTAGAATCCAAGCTTGGCATTGGAAAGGATAGCATATCCTGGGTACATGCCAATCTCAAAAGACTCTGTTTTGAAGGAATGCTATTAAAATGCATGCCCAATGGAATTGCTTACAAACATTAGCTTTATTTTTAAATATATTTCTTTGAGTCACTTAAAGTCAGCTTCCCTGCATGTCAGTGTGATTGATCACTTTGTTCCCTGTTTTTGAATTCTTTCACCATCTCCCTTGATTAGATTTGTTCTCTCCCAAGGACATTTCTCTCTCTCTCTCTCTCTCTCTCTCTCTCTCTCTCTCTCTCTCTCTCTCCACCCCCCCCCCACATACTTGTCTTTCTGGGTTCATTTTTTCCATTTGTATTGGCATGCACTACCACCTTTGATTATTTTGTTTTTACACATCAATCTGCCTTTCTCATTAATGTATTTCTAACATCATATCCTGTTAGGTTACCTTCGGAATTAGAGACTAAGTTTCAGCCAGCTGCAGTTTGTTTGTTTATTTATTTATATTATATACCATTCGTCCTTAAAAAACAAACGACACAACACAACAATACCAAGGAAAGACCTACAGCAGAATGGAAAAGTACCTGTTTTGCATCCAGAATCTCTCCGATTCAATCCCCATGTTCCACTATTAAGCAACATGGTCACATACATAAAAACTAAAATATAGAATAGAGAATGGGAGATGGGATAGAGGATTTTTACAGTCCCTGCCTAGTTCCTTTTGGTTTGCAGCTGCCAGCTATAAGAAATAAAATCTATGTTGTCAAGTGCAGGGAGATTGTGCCCCCTTCTCTGTTTGGATGTTTGTTGTACTGCAGCTGAAACTGGAGAGTCTGCTTCCAGCTCTTATTCCCACTTATAAAAGCCATTAACAGAATGAAGCTTTTCAAAAGACCACATGGAGAAAGCGATACCTCTGTTTTATATATTAGCCTTCACCTTTAGCCAAACAAACCAGCCAACAAAAACCAGCCTGCACTTTTAACACCTTGATAAGACTTATTGTTGCTGCTTTCATTAAAATCACTATCCTGGGCGGTTTCTGACTCTCTGCTGTGCCAAGTTCTCTCAGCTGTTTGCTTGTGTGTTAAAAATCAAATGTGCACATGGATATTTTCATACATTCCTTCAGTACCTGACATATAATATTGTATTTTAGGTGCTGTCTTTTTTTCCTGGCAGGCCTCCCCCCTCCCAGCAGCTGCAAAATAGGGTGGAATCCAGCAGGTTGAGCATTTGCACACCTACAATTACCAGGGGAAGCCCTCCCCCCCGCCACAGATTTCTTGACCTAATGTACTTTTCTTAAAGATCCAGGATTTTGACAAGCAAAAGGTAGAGCCCAACTGGTACTTAGAAGTGTTACTGATATATATATATATATATATATATATATATATATATATATATAAAAAATTATTATTCAATTGAGTAACTTGCTTGTCAAAGGCATGCTTATC